AAACTATCACAGTCTTTTTGGTGCCCAACGTGAGGCATGAAAGGTTGAGATAACAACCGTTTTGACCAAAGTGTGTTAGAAAGAATCTGCAATAAGCATTTGTTATGATGACTTGGTTGTCAGTGATCGGAATGTTGTTGTACTGGATTGCTGAGTTCTTTGAGGTGGCACTTTACATGCTGTTTATATTTTTCACCATCCCTAGCTAGAGGTACTGTTCTGCTGTGTGGTACAGTGATGGTGGTTACTAAGATAAAAAGATGGGTAGTGAGACCAATTTTGTATCTTTATTCAGCGGTGGCAGGCAGCACACAGAGCAAAGGAGCAGAAGCAGCTCCATCTCCTCATTGCGGGAGCTATCTGGTGAATGTTGTTACCAATTACACCAGTGTGGTTTTTCCCTTTGGGACGGGGAACATCTTCATTCAATTTCTGACTCCCAGTTACATAAGTTTTTTGAGAATTTTTAATATTCTTGGGATAATCAAACTCGCATAATTGTGTTGCTGGTTCTTCTGAATGTATGACAGGTTTTAATGCATGTCAGACTACTTAGGAGGATCCAAGAAAAACAAGTGATGCAAATAAAAACCATTGCTCACCACTGATTGACTGAGGCCCAGCCAATGCACAAGTTGCAGTGCCTCTGCCAGGCTCCCCCCTAGTTTTATTGCTGAGCATGATGTTGTATGGTACGGAGTACCCCTTTAGTCAGTTGAGGTCAGCTGTCCCAGCTGCGTCCCCTCCCAGCTTTTTATGCACCTCCAATGTATTTACTGGTGGGGCAGTGTGAGAAACAAAAGGCCTTGATTCTGTGTGAGCATTGCTCAATAATAACAAAAAATCTCTGCATTTGCAACACGATTTTTGAGCACAAATCCAAAACAGAGCCCCATGCTAGCTACTATGAAGAAATTAAACTCTACCCCAGCCAAAATCAGTACAGTGTACTACATTTCTGAAAATAAGGTCCTTTTTAAATGTGTTGATTTAAACTGATATTAGCACCAAAATATCAGTAACTACCAAACCTTTTTTTCAAAAACATAAATTTTATTTCAAATATGTAAGTTATGAAACACTTTAAAATAATAACAGCTCTTCTAATTGATAAACAGATAAAAGACCAATATAATGGAATAAAAATATAGCAAACTCTTGACTGGAATAAAAAATAATTAACCAGGCAACAGAGTCTTGCTCTGGTTGAAGTTTCTAGGGTTTGTGCTTGATTGATAGTATACACCACATCAGGTTGTAACAATGATCTGAAAGATATTCTTTTCTATATCCAATTAAAAAGGTTACCCTTATCTTCTGAAGAACTGGTGGTGGGGGGGGAAATTTAACTTATGATGACACCCAAAGCCAGCAAAAGATTGAGAACCATCAATTTCAAGTGTTTGTTGCAGAGGAAGCAAACTGTTCAGTCACCTGTATATTCCCATTGACTTATTTTGGGTACTCAGTTATCATTGTATCTGCCAAATCTGAATTGTGTGGTAGCCATATTAATCTAAGTTGCTTTGATCAGATAACAGAAAGCTTGAATACTTGTACCTGTTCAGCTTGCTGAGGGGCTGTGTACTCAGACCTGTGAACTGAACAACTAAGGAGAGTTAAATATATTTGGTTATTTTGGAGAATGGCTAAACCGTACTTTCATGTTCTGATTGCTGGTTCTAATCACCTAGGAAACATGTACCTCCTTATGGCAGCTATTCAAGTTTCCCAATGCTGGTGACTCAACAGGCTATGTAATCAGTTTTATGTTGGTTCCTGCTTAAAGACCAGAAATTACACTGTATGCTGACAATTGAGCAGAGTATGCTCTATTACAGAGTATTAAAGAGAAGAGTTCCTGCCATCAGGATAAGTAATTGTGCACACATTAGCAGAAGAGCAAAGATCACTTGGTAAATGTAGCTCCTTTGAAGATTTGTATAATCATTTACTAGAATGTAACAGGTTTTGTTTAGCTCTGTCTCTCCTCGTGGTTCTTATTTTCACTGAAAATGTAGTTGAATAGACTAGTGATAACCACTAAAAAAACCCCAAACAAACCTGTTTTTACGAATTGATAGCCGTTGTCTATGCATAGGTTTAAAATAAAATCACTGTTTAAAAAATCTCTTAAATTTACCATTTCTGCCACATCTGTGTAAGACTTACAATTTCTGTGGCAGGTGAAATCTGACCTTGTTTATGAGTTCTAGATACATTTATCTTGAGGGAATTAAGAGAAAAACTTGCAAAATTTTATGGAAGTTAAAAAGCAATGAAACAGATTGGAGTCAGGGATAGAGCTCTGCTGAGGCACCAAGCCATCTGTTGTGGGTAGGAAGAATATCTTTGCAGCTGGCAGGCTCTGAAAGTGCTGCCTGAGCAGTCATGAAAGGCCGAAAGCCTTGGGGGAGTGTGGCTGCTGCTCTGGCAGCAGGCTGCAAAATGCTTCCCGGGGCTGGGATTGCTCGGCTGGCTCCAGCATGGAGCTGGTCTCATGTTCCTTTGTCAGTGACTTTCCAGTTGCATGTAAGGATGAGAGGTCAGGTGTGTAGTTTTATAAATGAAGTATTTAGATGTTCCTATATATCCTCTGGTATTTGGTTTCTGTAGTAATTTTTTTAGGACTTGTTATTCTTTCAGGTCCACTTGGCTTTTTTCTCCTTCATCTTTCTCCTTTCATTTACACGTTAGTGTCAGAGGGCAACAGTGTTTTGTTTTGGATTTTTTGTTCCCATCTTTCCTCCCACCCCTTGCATCCTTTATCATCTGACATCTCTGAAATCTTTGTGCTCAAGAAGAGACAAATTTTGCCTAGCAGTATTTGATATCCTAAATTAGGGTGGTTGCCTTCCATCTTTTAGAAGATCTGAAACAATGAACAGTGTTGTCAGGAAGAGACACAATCAGTCAAAAGGCATAGCAACAACCATATTTCACTGACTCTTGCTGAGCTTAAAAAGTGTAGCTATACTTACAAAGTGTAGCAAGTAAAGCTAAGCTTTAGTTTGGCCTTATTTTGTAAATAGAAATATAAAGGTATCTTTACTGGTAGTATGAAGATTCCTCTTTAATGGTAGTGTGAAGATGCCTATTGTTTTACTGTTATATTTACATAAGTTTTCTCCAGGCTTCTAAGATTTATTTTTTATTTCTTTTAACAGCTTATTTCCTCTCATTGTCCTCTGAAATGCAATCCTCTTCTGCAACCTTAAGGACCAGTATTTTTCTTCCAACTGATGAAGAACATGTATGCCAGGTATTTTGATGCATAGTCCTTGTATTTCATCATTTGTCATAGTACTTCCCTGGAATAATCAGACCTTTTTCTTTTTTCTTGTGCTAGATTACCTTTCATTACTGGATTAGTCAAATGAGTGGAACATTGATGGTGGGTCTTAGAAAGCATTCTGAAGATACTATTACAAACATCTGGCAAGTTTCAAAAGAACTGCAAAATCAGTGGAAAACAAATACCATCACTATCAATAGCACTGAAAAATATGAGGTTGGTAAATTGAGGTGATTGTAAACTGCACTTGTTAAATGCTTTATAATTATTATTTTTTTAATAAGTCAAACCTAAATATTTTGTAAATGGAAAGCATTGTCATGAAGTAAAAGACAGAGAAGCCATTTGGAAATTCATAGTTGCATTGACAAATACTGCTTGTTCTTGTTTCTTGATGGTGTAAAACTAATGCCAAACCTTACTTAAACTGTGCATGTGTCTTAAATAAAACAGTCAGTCTTGTTGCATCATAAATTATCTACCTGCCTATAGAAGTGATATACTTGGGATTTTAACTTTCAATACTGTATTCCCTCAGCCTCAATCTAACTGTACTGATAAACTCAAGGTTTAATTTATATAGGAAATACTATTCTATACTCTTCGATAGGGATGCTGCAGATGACAAATGCTGTACTTACTATTCATTGTAGCTTAGAGTCTTTGTCATGCAACACGTGTACGGTTTTATTTTGCTCAAAGCTGCTGAAAAACAATGCAAGTCGGGCTATTTAAATGCTTTTACATGTGCATTTACACAAAACATTAACACAGTAAATGTATCTTAGGGCTATAATATCATGGATTATTTATACTCACTGTTATGCACAATACTGGAGGGAAAGTGGGGAGCAGAGGAGAAAACCAGAGGCATATCCTCCTTCAGCAGTTCCCGTGAAGAGTTAGTTAGCATACAAACCTAAAGGCATGAGAGCACAACCTCATTTCAATAAACCATATGAGTAACATAATTACTCAACTTGCAGAGGTAATGTTGTGCTAAAGCATTGAACAAGATCTGGATTTTTGAAGTAATACTTGCCTGCTCAACCCTGACTGAGAACGTAGGTTACAAAATACCTGCACCTAACTCAACACAAGTGTCAGCGTTGTTACTTGTCAATAACCTACCTCTACCTGATATGAATATAGGTATAGTAATCTGAGATTATGCCAGAAGGGTTTACTTCTAGATTCCCTTTTTCACCCTTCATATTGTTTAACAAATTGAGTTAGTTTGTGAATGGTTAATATAAAATGACATATTTCTTCCTCTAAATTGCTGGATCAAATCCTAATTAGATCATTGCTTGCAAACCTTGTTATCTTTTGACCTCTATAAAGTGAACTGATGGACACAGTCCAGCTTTAAAAAGGCATGTGTCAAACTTACTGCAGTAATCATTACAATTGGCTGAAGAAATGTTGCTGGGCAAGCTCTCTAAACCTAGAGCCTGAAGCTGAGCAAGCTTTCTTCTTTGGTTGCACATTTTTTCCTCCAGTGACAATTTGCAAGATGCTGGTCATACAAGCGAATGCAATTCACCTGCTCTTTGGCACTTGTTCTTTTGATATGACAAGATCTTTAGCCTACAGGGTTACCTGTGGCATTTTTGAGGGTAAAATTTCCATGGGAAAAAAACGGATGGAAAAAAATACTTCCTTTTTTGGGTGTAGAAATCTCTTTGAAATAGGATACTTGAGTATTTTTACCAATTTTGCAAGCACACTTGAAGTGAGGTTTTAATTAAAAACAACCTCCACTGCTTATTTTCTTTGCTTGATGTTGACTAATACTTTTGTCTCTTCCTACTTAAAAAAAATATATAAAAAATCTTTAATAAGTTTGGTTATTATCAGATTGAACTCCCCAGGGAAGGGTAGATGTGTATCTGTGCTGGATAAAGCCCAGGTGACCTTTTTTTTCAGACCTGAGAGCAGCTGGAGACATCTAGTATGATTTTCTGTCATCTGGAAAAGGGGAAGTTAAGACATGATGAAGAAAAAAATAGAACTGACACTTTTCTAGAGAGGTGGGTTCAGAGAGAGATGGGTTTGGAGTTACAGCATTGACTCTGCTCCTAGTTCAGTCAGTAGGAAACCTTTCATAGACTTCCAGGCATCTGACACTTCTGTAGTCAAACACTTAAATAGAAATAGCTGTTTTATCATTGGAGAGACTTCCACAGGTGTTTAGAACACCAGGATGTGTTGAATGTCTACAACATCAGTCAGCAGGGAGATTTTTGTAGAGACATTGATAACATGCACATTTAAAGCAAACCTCTTAAGTCTGTTCTATTATATAGACCAAGTAAACAAACTGTTCATGAGTTTTGAGGAAACAGAAGTTGTTAGATACTTTGTGTGCTCCAATGCAGTATGAACTTGAAGCCATCTCTGATTTTACACCAGCAAAGTGAAATAACACCTCTTTAGCATTGTCTAAATCACTTTGTCTCACTTAAAAATAAAATCTGACTATGAAGCCCTTACTGCAAGCTATATATAAATATATATATATTATAAATGAAGTTATTAACAACTAGATTTTGACTTCACATGAAAAATTATTGTGAAAAGGTCGAATATTTGTCAGATCCTTATTATTAAAATATTTATTGTGTTTCTAATTTCAAAACAGTGCACTGGATTGTTTTAGAACCTTATCTGAAACCACGTAATCATAGAAATGAACAATACAAATATACTATTTGTCCTTTGGAGATGTTGGCAAAGTACACATAAACTATACATGTTGCTGCAGTAACATTCAACAATCAAAATATTTTTTTTTTTTGAAACAAATAAAATGAACAAATTTGTAAGATACTGCATTTCAGTCACATAAACATGTTATTGAATGTGGTATGATGCCATTAATATTTAGTGTGACATAGTTATTCTTTCCAAGTAGACATCAACATGAAATGAAATAAATATAATGATATCAAAAGAACTTCAAACAAAAGCTTGTGTCAGGATTAACCCTGTTCCTTCAAAAGTTCTGTATTCCAACAAAATGCATTCTTTTCATTGTGCTACACAGCATGGTATTATTTCTTAACAATACTATATTAGAAAATACAGCTGTCCATGTGCCTGCTAACAATGGTCTTCATGGAATAATTGCCAGAAAAAGTGGTTACTGGCCATCCTTCTCTGTGCTGTGTTAAAATATATATATATGTGTGTGTGTGTGTATACATATATAAATAAACTAGACATGGATTTCTCATGTGATATGGCAGTATCTCTCTGTTTGTATAATGCCAGGATAATTTGGCTTTACAGGCTGCCACGCTTCTTGTGCAGGTCAGCTACAGCTTATGAAAAACAAATAATAAAACAAAGCCCCGAAAACCCAGCTCATAACATAATAGTCATATCCTTGGCTGAGTTGTGTTATCTTGTGCTGTGGAATACTGTATTGTTAATAATGTATAAGATAAATACAGGTTTTCTGCTACAATCTCTTAATCTATTCACAAAATTACCACTGAACTCTAAAGCTGATATTTGAAAACATATTATCTATCTAACGTTGTACATTTGCTATTAAGAGCTAGAATGTAGCTCTAGGTAGATTTCCAGGACTCTGGAAAAGCCTGGAGCTGTAACATCCCAAGATATGGCTAGGGAAGAATTTAAGGAATGTTATTCATAAGATTGATTTGTTAGGTTGTTTTGATTGGTGTGTTTTTTGCTGGGTTTTCCCAAGGACTGTTGTTGTATCAGTCTTCTTCTACAAGACAGCAGAAAAACTGTGGTAGTCTCTGCATTTACAAATGTAGATTGAAATCTTTCCATGAAGATGGAAATTCAAAATATTTGTAACTTCTTGTGTATAGAGGACTTTTCTAGGGAA